ACTGGAGATTGATGAGAACATTCTGGAGGATTTTTATTACTCATTGTATAATGCAGTGTCTGATGATTAGATTGATGTTTTCAGTAATATGTCCTGGGTGGCATGTTGAAAACAAATGTTTAAAATTAAATCAACTTCAGATACAACTAAATAGTGATTAGATTTTCCTTAGAGGTGGATTTCCTTTTGTGTTGGCCCTTAGTTTCTCCATTAGAGTCTATGGTAATATTGTCATAATTTTGCAAAGTTAGTTTCATAATCAAATTGCCATGCATATATTTGGTACTATGTAGAAGATATTTTGTCATCTGTGTCTTACCAATGTGTTTTATCTTCTTTCTTTCTCGGATGTCATCATTCATCTCTTTAAATACCTGTAATTTTTATTTACAGTTGTTAAGAAGCCTGGAGTATTTGTCATTCTGCCTCCAGATTGTTTATAGTACTTGTGGACTTGGGTGTTCTATGTTTGGATGCAGTATAATATAGTAGTTATGCATGTGGACTGTGGGGTCAGATTGCCTGTGCATTTGAATCCTGGCTTCACTGCTTATTAGCTATGAGACCATGGACGAATTACTCAGTTTCCTCATCTGTAAAATGAACTTAATAATAGTGTTGACATCGTTTGGTTGTTGAAGGATTTAATGGAATAATGGATATACAGCATCTGTCTCATTAAATGCTAGCTATGGTTCTTCATTTCCTTTACCAGTCTCTAAGGTAATGATAGTCCATTTGGGTTAAGCGTTACGCTCGATCCATTAGGAGTGCTTGATAATTAAAGACTGCAGTTATCTTCTATAAGAGCAGTATATGGCAATGATGCCAAAAATCTTCTTTATCCTTTTTAGTCTTAGAGTTGTGATTTCTTTAATTCCCAAATTTTCTTAGAAGAGTTTTGTTCTTTATCATCAGTTTTAAGCAATTTGATTAAGATGTGCCTTGGTATAGTTTTCTTTATGTTTCTTATGCTTGGGGTTCATGGAGCTTCTTGGATTTTTGTGTTTATGGTTTTCATCAAATTTAGGAAATTTTTGGCCATTATTTCCTCAAAATTTTCTGCCTCCTCCTGGTTGCCTTTGGGGACTCCAGTCGTATGTGTAGATTGCTTGGTATTGTCCAAAGTTTACTGATGCTTTTGTCATTTTTTCAGTCTTTTTTCTCTCCTTGTTTCATTTTTTGTAGTTTCTATTGTTATGTCTTCAGATTCAGTAATCTCTTTTTCTGTGGAATTCTAGTGGAAATTGGATTTGTATTTTTTTAAAAATATATTCCATGTGTCTACTTAATATGTTCTTTCTTCCTTCTTGAATATACTAATAGTTATAAAAATTGTTTTAATATCCTTTTCTATTAATTTTATCAATGTGTGTCATTTGTAGGTCAGTTTCAATTGATTTTTTCCCCTTCACTATGGGTTATATTTTCTTGCTTTTTTGTATGCTTGTTAACTTTTTATTGGATGGCAGATATTATGAATTTTACCTTGTTGGATGCTGGATATTTTTATGTTCTTGTAACTATTCTGAGCTTTATTCTAGGATTTGGTAAATTCACTTGGAAACAGTTTGATGCTTTTGAAGCTTGCTTTAAACTGTTCAGTGATACCAGAGCAACCTTTAGTCTAGGACTTATTTTTCCCTACTTATTTAACCCTACTTTGCATTCTACCCAGGGCCCAATGAATTGCAAGGTTTTCTGCTCTGGCTAATGAGAACACAGATTGTTCCTGGCCATATGTAAGTTCCAGCGATTGCTCCCTCTGCTCTTTTTGCATGGTTCTTTTCCCAGCTTAGTTTCCTAATACACATGTGCTGATTAGTAGTCTGCTGAAGACTTGAAGGGGCCATCTGTAAATCTCTGGAGCTTTCCCCCTGTACAATTTTCTCTTCTTTGGTAATCTGCCCTGTGAACATTAGTCATTTTGGCCTTCCTGGAGTCCCAGCCCCACCTCCTCAATTAATGGAGACTGAGGGGCTCTGCTTGGATTTCCCCTCCCTGCTCTGTGGTCTGGAAACTCTCTCCAGACAGCAAGCTAGGATAATCATGGAGCTTGACTCATATGTTTCCTCTCTCTCAGGAATCATTGCCCTATGTTGCCTGTCATCTGATGCCTGAAAATCATTGCTTTATATACTTTGCCTAATTCTTAAGATGTTTCAAGTAGGAGAGTAAGTCTGGTCTCTGTTACCCCCTCATAGGCACAAGCTGGAGTCCAACCCTAGAATAGTTTGAAGGCAAAGGAAACCGTTATCTGTGATTGTTTCTTATTTATTGTTTGCCACTGATTCGTGTAGGTTAAATCTGCCCCCTCTGCCCCAGAAACACACACAAATGCCTAGACCTTCCATTTAAGTCATCTTAAGAATTAATGAATATTGCTACCTGATTTATTGTGCCATGCTATTAGTACTGATCATCCAGTATGACTATGCTGTGGTTTCTTGTGAGTCTAAATGTTCTCCAGGTCTACACAATTGTTTCTAATAATAATAAAAAGACTTTTTTTGTAAGTTTTATTCATATAACTTTGATCAACTTACATATTTAATATTGACATCAATTTATATTGTAAGCACTGCTAATATAACTTTTTCTTTGGGATAGTTCACTTAGCATTTCATGTATTGGTGATTCCTACAGTGCTGTGAATGGAAAAAATATGGCTGAGTTCAAAAGTTTATTTATGTGTTAAACTTTGCAGTTAACTTTTGAAATTCTAAAGCAGGCTGAGGTTCAGTGAATCAGAATTGTGGCTATAGGAAGAAAGAGAATTAACCTTCTCTTCCTGTTTTCATGCTTATTGATTGAACACAGAAGTTGCATTACCAGTGCACCATTAGCAGTGGTTATAAGAAAAGACTGACCCCCAAATCTTAAAAACAACAAAAGTCTAGCAGCATAAGAGATGTGGAGGGTAGTCTGAATAGCAATATGTATGAAAAAGACTTGCATTTTAGTTGACTAAGAATCTTTTTGACTCAATACCTGACTCAACTGTTGGATTATCTAAAGTGGTCTTAGTATGCCTCAACAGAAACAGCAAAGTTGGGAGGGACATTTCATCCATGACTTACCACTCATTGCCAAGTAGTCACTCACCACGTCCCACTGTTCTTTCCCCCTAGGTATTTTTCACATCTTTTTCTTCTCTCCCTTATTATCTCCATTCTGTGCCTCGCATCTACTATCTGTAAACAGAGGTCAGCCTACTATAGCCTACGACCTAACTCTGGCCTGCCGCCTGCTTTAGTATGGAACATAAGCTCAGTTTTTTACATTTCCAAATGTTTGAAAAAAATGTAAAAGAGTTTCATGACATGGGAAACTTATATGAAACTCGAATTTCGGAGGCCATAAACAAACTTTTGTTCTATTGTTCATGGCCATTTTCATCCTACAGCACAGTTGAGTAGTTGTGAAAGAGACTGTATGGCCTGCAAAGCAAATAATATTTACTGTTTGGTCTGGCCTTTATAGAAAAAGTGTGCTGAGCCCTGTTCTACGTTACTGTTAGAGTCTTTATTTAGAAGTGCAAAATTGATAACATTGTACACCTTTTTCCACCGCCCTAGACACCAGCTTAAAAATTTGGAGGTTCCTTATTGCGTATGGGAAAAAGTCCATACTCCTTAGCATGATATCCAAAACTCTTTACAACCTGGACCAACTTGTTCTTTGTAGCCTTACCCCTTACCACACTACTCCTTTCTGCCCTCTAAGCTCCTAATGCTATTACCACTGAGATATTTGTTATTCTTTTTTAATAGCCAATGCTGTCAAAATACAATGTGCTCCACCTGTTCCTACTCTCATTCTGTATCCGTTAAGTCCCTATTCAGGCATCCAGACCTGGCTTCAGTGTTGATCCTCAGTGAGCTTTCTTTAGGCCGAGGCTACCCCTTCTCTGTAACCCCATGACATTTTGGGCCATTAGTACTTATCACATAATTATAACTATAATTATAACTATACTATGAGCTTCTTGAGGGTAAAGACTATGTCTTATTCTCCTTTGTTCCTCCAGTATCCAGTAAAGTATCTTGTACATAATAGATAATATTTTTCAATGAATAAATTAATGATTAAGATTGTGATCATATATGTTAATACATAACATTTTAAAGATCCCCAGGTACATAATTTGCTCTCTCTCTTTATCTTTTAAATATAAAATGTCAGAAAATGTACCTTGTGATGGAGCTTTGTGAGGATGGAGAGCTCAAAGAAATTCTGGAAAGGAAAGGGCATTTCTCAGAGAATGAAACCAGGTGGATCATTCAGAGTCTTGCTTCAGCTATAGCATATCTTCACAATAATGGTAAGAAGAGGATCAGCCAACTCATTGACTCCATGAATGCAGATATCGCATTTGTTTAAGGGTAGTTGTACTCAGGATACATAGTTACAAATATCACCTGCTAATATAGAAGATTTAATATAAAATTTTTTTTCCTTTTTAATTTTATTTATAGATATCTTTTAATCAGAAACAGAGCAGGTAAACAATTGCGTGTACACAGACAAGGATGTAGTTATGAACATTTCTATTCAATAGTTGGAAAAACAGCTAATAAATATTATCAAATCGAATAGACAAATTATTGATATAGGTGAAATTTCCAGAAACACTTATATATTACTAATAACATTAAAAATCTATATGTTCTAGCAGTCTAAGGCCCCAGGGGGAAGGGAAATGTATATAGCCCAGCAGCCGCCGAGGCGAGCTGAGACCAGACCCTTGTGGCACTAGGTCCAGTCTAAGGATCCTGGGGGAAGAGAAGCGCACACAGCCCAGCAGGCACTGAGGTGAGCTGAGACCTGCACAGCACCAGGGGCTCAGTCTACAGCCATGGAAAGCTAGAACAGGAGCCAAGGTAGTGTAATATTGATACTGCCACACCTTCTGTCACCACAAGGGCAGTTCACCACCGCAGTAGCAGCCAGGGCCACCCTGCAGGCAACCTGCCACTCACTTGACTACATTGATATAAGAAGAGTCACCAGTAGAGCCTGCAAATAGAGGAGGAAGTCTTTATCCTCATAGCCAACCCCAGAGTAACAGAAGAAGCAAGTCCTCTACCGGATGACCAAACATCAACAAAAAAATACTAGAACTAAAAACAAACAAGAAAATATGACACCACAAAAGGAATACAGTAATGCTCAAATTCCAGACCCCATAGAACAGGGAATCCTTGAAACGTCTGAAAAAGAATTCTGAGCAATGATTGATAGAGTTTGGATGTGTTGTCCCCACCAAAACTCATGCGGAAATTTGATCCCCAGTGTGGCAGTGTTGGAAACTGAGTCATGGGGGTGGGTCACTCATGAATGAATTAATGCTCTTCCTGGGGTAGGGGGGATTAATGAGTGAGTTCTCGCTCTGTTAGTTCCTGTGAGAGCTGGTTGTTTAAAAAGACCTAAGTACCTCCTCTCTCTCTCTCTTGCTTTCTTTCACCATGTGATCTGCTTGTACCTGCTGGCTGCTTGCCACTTTCTACCATGAGTAGAAGCAGCCTGAGGCCCATGCCAGATGCAGCTGTCCCAGAATTGTAAGCCAAATAAACCTCTTTTCCTTATAAATTACCCAGTCTCAGGTATTTCTGTTATAGCAACACAAAATGGACTAATATAGAAAATTGATACCAGAAGTGGAGTGTTGCTATACAGATACCTGAAAATGTGGATGCAGCTTGGGAACTGGGTAATGGGCAAAGGTTGGAGGAATTTGTAGGACTTAGAAAAAGACAAAAAGATGAGAGAAAGTTTGGAATATTTTAGAGACTGGTTAAATGGTTGTGAGCAGAATGCTGATAGAAATGTGGACAGTAAAGACCATGCAGATGATGAGGTCTCAGAACTGAGGAACTTATCGTGAACTGGAAAAAAAGATAACCCTGGCTATACCATGGCAAGGAACTTGGCTGCATTGTGTCCATGCCCTTGGACTTTGTGGAAGGTGGGACTTAAGAGTTGTGAACCAGAGCATTTGGCCGAAGAAATTTCTAAGCAGCAAAGCACTAAGGAAGCTGCATGGTTACTTCTGACAGCCTACTATGGGTTATGGCAGCAAAGGCATGATGTAAAGCTGGAGTTTAAAAGGGAAGCAGAGCATAAAGATTTGGAAAATTTGCAGCCTGGCCATGTGGTAGAGAAGTGGAGAGCAGGAGAAAAATGCAAGGGTGAAGCAGACAAACTGTTTGCTAAAGACATTATCTTGGCAGTGAGGCAGCCAGATGCTAAAAACCAGGACAATGGGAAAAAAGCCGTAAAGGCATTTGAGAAGTTTGGAATGGTGCCCCACCCATCATAGGCCCTGAGGCCTAGAAGGACTGAGTTGTCCTGGAGGACAGACCTGGGGTGCAGCTGCCCTCGGGAGCCTGCTCCCTGCATCCCAGCTGCTCTGGCTGGAGCAGCACCAAGTGTGGTTCATGCAGCAGCTCTGGAGAGTAGAAGCCTGAAACCTCAGTGGAGTTCACATTGTGTTAAGTCTGCAGGCTGGCAGGACGTGAGAGCAGTGGAGGCATGGCAGCCTCCACCCAGATTCCAGAGGATATATGGAAAAGCCTGGAGGCCCAGGCAGAGACCTGCCACAGGGGTGGAGCCACCACAGAAGCCATCTGCTAGAGCAATGCTGAGCAGTAAAGTGGGGTTGGAGCCCCCACAGAGAGCCCCCACCAAGAAAATGTCTAGTAGAGCCAAGGCAGTGGGGCTACAGCCAGGACCCCAGAATGGCAGGGCCACTGGTAACATACAACACCAGCCTGGAAAAGTTGCAGGCACCAGTACAGTCTACTGGGCTGTGCCTGGCAGAGGTGTGGGAGTGAGGCTGCCCAAGGCTTTGTGGGCCCAGATGCCCAATTGTGCCCAGGATGCAGGACTTGGAGTCAAAGAATATTATTGTGGAGCTTTAAGACTTAATGTCTGCCGTGCTGGGTTTTGGACTTGTTTGGGGCCTGTTTCTCCTTTCTTCTGGCCTATTCCTCCCTTTTGGAATGGGAAGGTGTAGCCAATGTCTATTCTACTATTGTATCTGGAAGTAGATAAATTTGGTTTTGTTTTTACAGGTTCACAGCTGGAAGCACTTTTGCTTTTGGTTTTGGATAAGACTTTGGACTCTGGACTTTTAAGTTGGTGTTGGAACAAGCTAAGACTTTTGGGACTGTTGAGATGGAATGATTGTATTTTGTATGTGAGAGTGACTTGAGTTTTGGGGGGTCAGGGTGTAATGATAGAGTTTGGATGTGTTGTCCCCACCAAAACTCATGTGAAAATTTGATCACCAGTGTGGCAGTGTTGGAAACTGATTGAGTCATGGGGGCGGGTCCCTCATGAATGGATTAATGCTCTCCCTGGGGGAAGGGGGATTAATGAGTGAGTTCTTGCTCTGTTAGTTCCTGAGAGAGCTGGTTGTTTGAAAAGACCCTGGCACCTCCTCTCTCTCTCTCTCTCATCCTCTCGCGATGTGATCTGCTTGTACCTGCCGGCTGCTTGCCACTTTCTGCCATGAGTAGAAGCAGCCTAAGGCCCATGCCAGATGCAGCTGTCCCAGAATTGTAAGCCAAATAAACCTCTTTTCCATATAAATTACCCAGTCTCAGGTATTTCTGTAATAGCAATACAAAACGGACTAATATAATGACCTTAAGAAAGCTTGAAGAAATAAAAGAAGACTCAATTAGAGAACACAAGAAAACAAGAAAAAATATCCAGAAATTTACAAAGAGATTAATACCTTAAAAAAGAAGAAAGCAGAGCTCCTAGAAATGAAAGATTCACTTATTAAAAAAAAAAAAAAAAGCACAACAGAGAGCTTAAGCATCAGGCTAGAGCAAGCAGAAGAAAGAATTTCAGATCTCGAAGATGGTCTTTTTGAAATAATCCAGGCAGACCAAAAAAAGGAAAAAAAAATTAAAAATAATGAGGAAAATCTAAGAGAGATAGCAGACAACCTCAAGTGCTCTAATATGTGAACTGTGCTATTCCAGAAAGGGATGAGAAAGGAAAAGCTATTGAAAACCAATTCAAGGAAATAAGAACAGAAAACTTCCCAGGGGTAGGGAGAGATGGAGACCTTCAGATCCAGGAAGCTCAAAGGTCCCCAAACAGATTCAATCCAAAAAGATCCTCTCCAAGACACATTATAGTCACATTTGCAAAGCTCAAAGAAAATTCTAAAAGCAGCAAGAGAAAAGTGTCAAGGCACCTATAAGGGAACCCCTATCAAAATAATAACTCAACAGAAGTATTTCTCAACTGAAACCCTACAGTCCAGAAGAAAGTGGAATGATAGATTCAAAACACTAAAAGAAAAAATTGCCAGCCAAGAATTCTTTACCCAGCAAGTCTTTCCTTCAGATATGAGGGAGAAATAGTGTATTTCCCATACAAACAAAAATTGTGGGAGTTCACCACCACACGACCAGCCCTGCAATCAATTCTCAAGGGAGTCCTTCATCTGGAATCTGAATAATGAATGTCACTACCATGGATACACAAGAAAGATCAAAACCTGCTGTTAAAACAAAAGTGCCAATGAGAAAGAGCAAGAAGCTAAATCATGCCACCTCAAATATCCAACTAACATTGAAGAGGATAAATAAAAGGGGAAGTAAGGATCAAAAGATATTTAAAACATCTAAAAAAAAAGCAATGAAATGACAGGAATTAAACAATATCTGTCAATAACCACCCTCAATGTGAATGGATTAAACACCCCATTCAAAAGGCACAGATTGACTGATTGGATTAAAAAGCTAGACCCAAGTATATGCTGTCTTCAAGAAACCCATCTCACATATGGAGACACACACAGACTAAAAGTGAAGGGGGAAAAAGATATACCATGCAAATGGAAACCCAAAACAAGCAGGAGTAGCTATCTTTATATAGGATAAAATAGACTTTAAACCAAAAAACATAAAAAGAGACAAAGAAGGCCACTATATAATGATAAAAATATCTGTCCATCTAGGAGACATAACAATCATAAATATATATGCACCTAGTACTGGAGCACCCAGATATATAAAGCAAACACTCTTAGACCTAAAGAAAGAAATAGGCCCTAGTACATTAATTGTGGATGACTGAACACCCCTGTCAGTACAGGACAGATCTTCCAGGCAACAAATCAACAAAAAGACACAGGATTTAAACTACACATTAGACCAACTGGACCTGGCAGATATATACAGAACATTTCACCCAACAACTAAAGTATATACTTTCTCCTCATCAGCTCATGGAACACTCTCCAGGATAGACTGCATATTAGGTCAAAAATCTTGCCTCAGCAAATTTTAAAAAATTGAA